CCATATAGCACACCAGGATGTTTGAGAGGAGCACTGTGAAGTAAATGGATATTTAGATAAAATGGATTTTATTCCCATTACTTTCAAGACCCATACCACCATCATCTGAGGTGTGTTGGAGGTGATCCTGTTCTCTCCAGGGTTACTCTGATCTATATTCTTCAGGTGTGTCCTAGTGGTAGGAAGTCATAAGACAAGTATAACAAACTATATCACATAAAGAATATATAAAGAATATATATTACAGAGGATAACAGCAAAAAGTTCTGCTGATAACACTTGGTGCCATTTGCACTAGAAAAGCATGTTGCAGTCATCATATCCTTGATCCTTTTCCTTCTGAAAGGGATATCTGGGCATATGTTGGAATTTTCAATCAAAGAAATCAGATAAACAAAGTCAGAAAAACATAGTTCATAACAGTATGGATTTTCACATTGTTTATAGAGACAGTTTTGACTTGTTGCTTGTGAGCAAAGGATGTGAGAGTGATAATGGATTTGAACAAAGACCATAAACTAGAAAGAACAACGATCCTCTGTGTAGCACTTCTGCACCCTCTAAGCGTGTTTTCATTGTAGGTAGAGGTTGCTTTTCATTGAGATTTGAGAGGTCAAAGAAGCATTGCAAAGCCCAGCCCGTTGATTTCCTTGTAAGACTTCCTGAAGGCGTTCAAGCAGGCATTGACAGATGTATTTCTTGGAAGCCCAGCCGTGACCGATCAAATCCAACAGTTGGAAGGAGCTCCCTGCTTGGCAGTGTGCTCTTCCCTGCCAACCCTTTGGACAGAGTCCAAGCACTAGGTAGAACCTGAAGTCTATGTACCCGCATGTACCCTTGCAACATTGCCTCCAGCAAAGCAGGGAAAGATGAGTGATGAAGCAAACAGTGCATTTAAAGGGTTTCCTCTGTTTCCACCCATGCAAAGGTGCATGAGGCCTCATCCTGTCCTGCTTAATGCTGTCTATGTAAGGTGCCACTCCTGATCTGATCTGTGTGCATCAGCTTGTGAAGAAAACACGCTCTGTGAGCTGGAGCTTCACACCACACGTCACGTTAAAATGCACAATTTATGTGTGGGTTAATAGCAAACGCCTTGAAAAATGTGGGCACGGGTTAAAAACAGAGACTCTAAACAGTTAAACAACAACCCACTGATGATAGTCAAGTAGTCATTGAAAAAACATCACCTGAGAGCTGAGAAAAAGAAGTCCTTGCAGAGGAAGGAGACAAAATAAGAGCTGAGCCACAGGATAAAAGAAGACACCTGCCACAGCCCAAGCATCATCTCCCACACCAAATACCATGCAGTACGGGGACTGGCAGGAGGACAAGGGCTAGGATGTGTCCAGAAGTGCAAACAGCTTATAAAGGAAAAGATCCAGTCTCTGGGAGGGAAAGACAGTTCTTACCGTGCAAGAACTTGCCACTAGCGTGATGTGTAGTGTTAACTGAGTACCTCTCTAGTAAAGGTGTTTTAAATTTGAACACCGCTTAGGTTTATAAGTCTTGTAAACAAACATCCCATGTTTAACACATCCCCAGACCCACATGTTTAACTTGAACACCGCTTAGGTTTATAAGTCTTTTAAACAAACATCCCATGTTTAAAACATCCCCAGACCCACACTGGTCTTTGAATCCCTAACAACTGATGGATATTTATATGTGCACACATAGTCACATCCTAGCTGCCCCTTGCCACGCAGCTGTCGCTGCCTGACTCCTTCACTAGGCAAGTGCAGAGCAACAGCAGGAGAAACGACACCTGACAGTGAGGGACGGCCATCGCTCAGGAGGACAATGTCCCTTCCCATGTCATGCCACCCATCTTCTTTCTCTGCTCAGCACCCGATTCCCTCAAAAGGGTCACCTGCAAGTTTCTCCACACCTAAGCATCTCCCCTTCCAGTCATTCTTTAAATAACTTCGGTACAGCCACCATTCCTGTGCTCACATTTGACTCTGTAAGACGCTGTTCTTATGGACCAGGCCTCACCTCGTGTCCCTAAGTTCCACTGTCTCATACTTTCATCATTATTGGTAACTGATCAGAGCATTGCAGAAGGAGCAGCAAAGTTTGTACCCTATGAACACACAGCTCAGACATGGCTTATTGTGTGCAATGGGGGATAGGGAATTCACTTTTTACAGCACATTTCAGAAAGTCTACCATGAGGAAAAGCGATCTTTGACGGTTACTCATCAGGAATATAGATGCTATATATGTGCAAATCCCTTTTTTTTTTGGCTTCAGATGACATCACAAAAACAATAGCACACACAAACATATATACCTATGTATCTAGAGTATATATGTACATGTGTATACAGACTTGTGTATACATGCATAGCTGCGTGTGTGTGTGTGTGTGTATATATATATACACACACATATATATACATATACATGTATATGTATACATATATATGTACATATGTATCTGTATATATACACATATATATACACACATATCTGTATGACACACGTGCACATATGGAGGTATGTGTGTAGCCACGCACACAAACACATATTCAATGCATGTGTATACAGGCATCTGTATATGTGTGTTTATATACATCCATATAGATACACACACCTCTATATACACATGCATATTGTATACGTGTGTGTGTGTATATATATATATGTGTGCATGTGTGTACATATGCACACACATAGTTATGTGTATGTGTGCACATATTATATACATGTGTTTATATCGATACACATATGTATATATCTATATACACTTATATATACACACACATACAACATGTATGTATACACACAAAAATATTTATGCACATACCTATACATTATATATACACCTATTTATGTATAAATACATATACTTATGTACATATATACACACACACACATAGGTTTGTGTGTGTATACACATATCTTTGGGTTAGAAGGTCCATGTCCCACCTGTGTGCATGTGCGTGTGTGTGGAGATATAGATAGATAAATATATATACACACACACACACGTGCGCGCGTGTTGAGTGTGTGAGAGAGCTTTTGGGGGGGGGGCACGCACCTGTAAATGTGGGTTAATAGACCTATATAAAGCTACATACATAAAAGTATTTTAGACATTTTTTTTTAAAAAAAAATATATATGTCTGTGTGGGTTATCTTGTGAATGTGTCTATTTACACATAGCTCTGCATGTGTGTGCATGCGCACACAAACACACACACATATAAAATACTCATTATTATACATATGTAAATAAAATATACATATACAAAATACACATATACGTGCACACACAGAGATATATACAGGTGTCATACATATATTCACACATATGTGTAAACACATGTATATAACACATGTATACATATATGTATACATATATACACACGTATGTTTCTGTATGTATACATATTTACAGCCTCATGCAGATACACACATATGCATGTTGCATACATATGTGTACACACCGATGTATGTGTTTTATACACATATGTATACATACACATCTGTAAATGTTTGTTTTACATACATGCATATAGCTGTATAACCACAGACACATATAACCACACATGGACATATTGTATACATCAGTGTGTGTATAGGTATGTGTGTTTATCCACACACGTGTGCCCCCCCGCCCCGTCTGTGTGTGCACACACCTGTATATGTTTATTTGTATACATACAACTATTATATAATACATAGTCACACATCACACATACTGTATACATGAATGCACGTGTGTATCTGTATTTTCCCCCCCCCCCCCCCCCCCACCCCCCGCGCTCTGTGCGTGCCTGTGTATATATACGGGGGGGTGTGTGTGTGTGTGTGTGTACATGCATAATGTATATATGTGGATATACATATATACATGCATAAATGCAGTTTTACTTATATACTTAAATATGCATAAACATTTACTGATGCACACAGACACGTGTGTGTGTGTGTATATTTACACACATACATACATACAGGTGTATGTATATGACAGGGTCTCACTCTCTAGAGATCATCTAGTCCACCTCCCCCGCCCAGCCCCGCTCCAGCAGGACACCTAGAACACACAGCACAGGGCAGGCTCCAGGCGGGTTTGGAAGATCTCCAGAGAAGGAGACTCCGCAGCCTCTCTGGGCAGCCTCTTCAGGGCTCCATCCCCCTCACAGTTCTTCCTTATATGTATCTGGAACTGCCTGTGTTTCAATTTGTAGCCTTTACCCCCTTGCTTTGTCACTACCCTTCTGAGAAGCGTTCCCTGCCGTGCCTCCCACCCGCCCCACCCCTTGGCCTTTACATTCTCCCCTCAAGTATTTGTACATGTACATATGATTCCCCGCTCACTCTTCTCTTCTCCAGGCCTAGCCGGCTTAGTCTTTCCTCAAGGAGAGATGTGCCAGTCCCTTAATTTGTTGCTCTTTGCTGGACCCTCTCTAGAAGGCCCATGTCCCTTTTACACACACATGCGCGCATGCACACAGAGGTATGTGTGTTTATATGTGTATGCACACATAATTTATGTGTGTGTTTATACATGTATACATATATACACACACGTGTATATAAACATATATGTACATATTAACTTTGTTTAAATATATACATATATATACACATATATGTGTGTATATATCTATGCACACATGCACTCACACATGCATCTCTCTCTCTCACACACACACACACACACTCACACATGTATACACAGGTGTATATGCACATAGAGGGAGGTGTTTTTGCACCTGGATATGTATGTTTATACACATATAGATCTCGAACCACAGGCATATACTTACACACGCATGTTGCGTGAGTGTGTGTGTGTGTGAGAGAGAGAGAGGCACGTGTGAGAGCATGTGTGCGCAGAGATATACACACACATAATGTGTGTATATTTGTTTATGCACATATATGTACATATTAACATACAAATATGTATATGCTCATGTACATATAGCTACCTACATGTAGGTAGGCACATGAGTACATGTTTGTGTGTATGTATACACACAAATGCGTGCACACCCCCTCACACATGCAAATATTGTACACATACGGGTGGGTATATATGTATGTGTGTACACACACACACACCTGTATATGTGTTTATATCCCTATAGCTATGTAGCCACAGATTTTTTTTTTTTTACACACACACACTCTCTCTCTCTCTCTCTCTCTCCCACATGGGGGGGGAGTCATAGACGCACATACTGCTGTGTGTTGCTGTGCATGCACACAAACACACGTGTGTATATTTGTGTTCAGACACATCTATATACACACACAGGTGCACACACACACAGAGGACTGTGTGTATACACACATATTGTATATGTGTATTTTTATACATATATGCACACATTGTATACAGATGCATGTATATACATATATATGCATAAATCTGTATATAGATATTTGTACATATCTACACACACGTGTATATACACATATCTGTGTATGTATAGACACATACATGTGTATACACACACACACACACCTGTGTGTGTGTGTGTGTATATACACATATGTATGTATATGACAGAATCACAGACTGGTTGACATTGGAAGGGACCTCTAGAGCTCATCTAGTCCAAGCCATGGCCTACTCCAGAAGGGATTTCCCCCCCTGCCCCAGCATGTGGCACAGGGTGGCCTCGAGGCAGGGTTTGACGATGAGCGGAATGCTCAAGTTAGTTTATGTACTCATCAATAAGGGGATTTCCCCACAGTCTGGCTGAAGAGCAGGACAAAGGGAGGCGAGACTGAGCAGAGCCATGAGCGAGTGGGACAAGAAGAGACATCTGCAAGGAGATGGGGGCCTTTACAAAGGAGGGAACTAGGGGAATTCCTCCACGTTCTTCAGCAAGGGGGACAAAGGAGTTGGTGACTTTAGGTGAGAGCAGATGGCAGGAGGCCTGAGTTGGGTGTAGGTGGTCCGGGAAGGCTGTAACTTGTGAGTGCCTTGGCAATGGGGAAAAGGAGAGGGTGTCCCTCGGTCGGGAAATTAGGATAAAAGGAGGCGGGGGGGGGGGGGGGCTGCGTCCTCCAGCAATTTGAGAGACCCCACAGGGATATGCCTGGTGGACTCTCCCTTTATTCGAATAAAGTTTTAGGACTCCTCTGTCTCCTTTTTGGACATTCAGTTCTTGACAACGAGATTTTCCGCACAATTGGGAGCTCATCCGGGATCCTTCCACCTTCCGGGAATGGCAGACAGCGATTGGAGTCGACGGCGTGCCTCGCCAAAGCTTTTGGTGATCGACTCCTTTCGACGGCAGGCTGCACCGGACGACTGATTGGGTCCCTGAGACTGTCCGGAGACAGACGAGAAGCGGATCAGGGGGATCCGCAGGTAGGACCAGGAGGGGATCCTCAAGTGGTCTGATGGAAAGGACTAGGTCTGACGGAAAGGACCTCCGCGTAGCGCTAAGCCCGATGGAAAGCACTAGGTCTGAAGGAAAGGACCTCCAGGGAGCGCTAAGTCTGACGGAAAGGTCTAGATCTGAAGGAAAGGACCTCTGGGTAGGGCTAAGTCTGATGGAAAGGACCAGGTCTGAGGAAAGGACCATTGAAATCTCACTGTCTCTCCGACAGGAAGCCCAGCTCGCACAGACCCTCCCCTTGGATTTTGCAGTCCATGATATCCAACCAGGGGATTGGGTCTTGGTCAGAGAATGGAAAGAAGCACCACTGCTAGCAAAGTGGCGTGGACCTTATCAGGTATTACTAACCACAGAAACATCAATCAAGACAG